CTAACCTTCCGCTTAATATCGCACTAAAAAAATGCAGCAATATAAAAGAAAATATTTTATCTAAGCACACATATCCATATTTCATACATACTTGATGGCAAAACATAATAGTTGAGGCAGTGGCAACCGCGTTTGTGGTCAAGACTATGGCGGCGTCATATGAAAAAGATCAGCGCTCAACTATGCCTGAACACTGGCGCGGGCAGATTGGCTGTTTCATGAACATACATACACACATATTTATATAAGCATTTGTATAGTAGTTGTTGGATGTAGCGACGTTTTCAACAAAGTGCATGACCCTGCTCGGTCGTGGCCGCTTTAGTAGCGGTTAAGAATGAGTGGCTGTGAGTGGGTGTTGCGCTAAGTGTACTTTTGCGTGCGTTCGCGTTGGCTGAGAGTGTTTTCTTTTCATGTTTTCCGTACATTTATATATTATATATGTACTATATATGTTCATTTTTTGCATATGTGTACCGGTTTTCGCGAACTCATATATATTTGTGTGTGTAAGCTTAAAGCCTGTGTGGCTCGCCTACTCGTTAACGGAAGCGGAAGTAATTTGTCATTCGCATTTTTGCTGTCCGCCATTTTTATAAGTGCAAAGAGTTCTTTTAATGAATAAATATGTTTGTATGCAGTCTTAAGCAGTTATACACAAAATTAGTTACCATTTGTAAGTCATTAGAGTGTTTTTTATAAAAATTTGAGTAGGATTAGAAGTTGGCGATGGGTGTAGCTCGAACGATGTAGCTCTCATGGTTGAGGAAAAATTTTTAAATACCATGTAGAAGCTAACTCAGGGATACTTTAGTATCGTAAACAACTTCTCCATAAATTTCACCATGGCCAAGCTAGTTTTATTCACTAGTAAATACAAAGTTTTGTATTCGCACCTGTCATCAATTGGAGAAACGCGAGGAGGCACCTCTTGTCAGTATTAAATACCTGGTGTTTCAAAAGAAGATCTAGGAATCCACGAGAATCATTGGTAAAATGTTGCGACTTATAGCTTACGGGGGGTATGGTGGAGGAGTACATTGACACTGCAGCGTCTTCCAAACTGAAATGGTTGCCGTAAAAGGAGCGGTGTAATGTCTATCTACTATTAGCCTTGAGTCCGCTGACTGTGCGCTCAATACTAGTAAATGAGTGTCTATATCCTTATTTGAAGCACAGTTAGTTTATAAATATTAGGTTGTCAAAAAAGTCTTGCGGTATTTCTTGCGGTATTTCTTGCGGTATTTTTATTGAATTTTCAATTGTTTATACATTTTTTTTTTATGACTCATGCCCGGCTCTTGACCAATGCTACGGCTGCTACTATGCCGGTCTCTTTCGACCAATTCACCGATTTTATCGCAATTTTCGACGATAGGCCTTCCGGAGCATGGCGCATCTTCGACCACATCTACACCAGAACGAAAACGTTRAAACCATCATTATGCGGTGGAAATGGAAACTGTATCGGGTCCATAAACTGAACAAATTTTATTGGCGGCTTGAGATGCACTTTGCCTTTATTGTAGTAGTACTGTAAAATATGATTCATTTTCTCTTTATTTTGCTCCATGTTTGCGACGCTATAACTCACGAACGACTTAAAAGAAACGACAATCGATCAAACACGTGTTAGCGCGTGAAATGATCTTTCCAAAAAGGTATAGCATGACCCGATGCGACGAATAAAACTAGAATTACGCGCTTTCAGCGCCAACTAGCGAAAATACCGCAAGACTTTTTTAATAACTCTGATTTGCTCGGCCACAAAAGTATTGCAGGAAATTCCTAGCATGTTAGGACACGTACTCTAGTCCTAATAACTGCGGAATGGAACGCTTGTCTTGGTACAGTACTGGACTGTTGATGTATGGTCGCAATGTCCGTTTGGCTCAGGCTAAATCGTGAGATGTCAAGTGCATTCTTCGTTCTCAGCAAGGACCATCTTTCAGTGGTAGTGGAAATTCTAACAGGCCCCTGTCCGATCGGAATGCATGCAGTAAGGTTAAATACCTTACGGGATACCGACTACATCAGCTGTTTGGAATAAGATGGGATAGAATCATCTTAACACTTCTAGATGACGGCGAAATCACCTCGGAAATAGAAAATAAATTTCTAAACAGATTTCTGATAGGATTAGGACATTTTTGTGGATAATTGCTATCCAATTACAGCAGTTTCATTCATTTGGTATCACAAAGGAGTGTACATAACAGTCTAAGTGTGATCAATCTGATACGCTGAGGGATCAGCCATTTATTATTACCTACGAGTTAGGTTTGTGAGTATGGTTTATATATGAAAATATTAACTGTTTATAGGAGACGAAAAATTTAGTTGTCGGTCTTCAATGACGTGATGTGATGAAAAATGGATCCATTACGATAACTCTACGAGCAAAAAACTTCATATGTAAAACTTGACCCATCAGCAGAACCAATGGCAAAGCCGAATATCTATAACGTCAAAGCGATTTCTTGTATTTGGTAGGATTCCCAAGTGCAGTATCAGAACAAGGTATTAACAATTTGTTTGATTAATCGATTAGTTTTCAAAAATTGGGATTAGTGCAATAGCCTCAAATGGACAGTAATTTGAGTAATACTATTGTACTTTTTCATATTTGGAAAAATAATAAAATAAAAGATCCAGTATTTATAGTGTAAAAATAAAACTCAAACATGAGTATTTTCTCCCGATTCGAATTATTTTTTATGATTCCTGAAAAATTTCCACTCTGTAATTTTACATGCCTTAAAAGTATATGAGCCATATTAAAAACTCGACATCTATAATTAGGCTATCACATTGTAAATAGTCATAACGGGAAAATGTAAAAATAGCTTACGTCATCAATAAATTTTAAAAATCTACTGGTATTTATATAAATAGGTTCGAGCACAGGCAAATATGTTATATATGTGGTGTCCATCCATCATTCACCTCCAAGCTCCATCACCCGTTTTTGGATGCCGATGTGCTCGCTCTACTGAAAATGCGCAATACGCAATCAAATTAAGCTGTGCCTCTTTTACTTTGCATATTTGGTGGTGGTGTTCATGCTCACTTCTCGTGGCAGTGAGCGCGCACTGAGATGGCCATAATAAATTAAATAAGATTTCAGCGTCGTTAAGTGGCCAAATTGACTGAAAGAAATGTCGCTTTCACTTTGATTCTGGTTTGATTTACGTTCGCATGCAGTTTGCTTATAAAAGAATCGAGTATGGGAGAAATTGAAATTATTCCCATTTGCGCGGCATTAAGACCTTCAAAATGATTGAGATTTCTTCATTTTTATATCACGTAGTTATGTCTATAATTTAGAAAGAATCGCTTAGTGGTCCATAGTTATTTATGACGCTACTTCTGTAATACTTTAGATTCTTCTAAAATTTAAATCTTACTTAATATTTTATAAAATAAATGGTTATTAATGTATGATTAAACACAATTCTCATAACAATAGTCACTTCTAAAAGTTTATTGAGAAACAACAAGGATTCTGTTGAAATAAAACATAACTTTCAATATGCACTTCTTAATATTGGGTAGTCGAAAACGTCTTTTCGTATTTTGTCAATATGTGACGTTGCAGTCGTATATTTCCTGTGCTACCATTCACTTTTTGTCATACCATATAATGTTGGAAAGATGAGAAATATATATTTAATTTTATTTGTATTGTTTTAATTAAATAAGTCAGTATTGAATTTTTTGTTTTCAATCCTATCTTTTATCTGAAGGCTACTTTAAACTTTCAAATATATCAGAATGGCTATGTGTCATTGTCAAAACTTTTTAATATCAGAAATATGTGTAACATATGTATGTATATATTTATCAACGTAATGTAACCCTTTTATGAAAAAATACTTTCAATATTTTTCAAAAATGATTACATGCGATTCTAACCCACAACTAACTGAATGTTAGTGATAAACCTAATGAAAGAGGTTTTTTAGAGACTTAAACATTTTTTAATATAAATTTTTTTTATTTTGAAACACTTACATTTCAGGAATACTAGTTGAATAGTGGGGGTGGGAATCAATAAGAAATAAATAATTCGGTTTTATGCCATAAATTTATTTCTTACTAAAATATCTACATCTTGATTACTAGTTATGTACATACATAGGTACTTAATATAGAGTTTTGTACAAAATATATATCAATCAGTTTCAATATAGTCAAGCTACAAATATATTTAATTTTGTAATACATACCATAATTAAATTTTGTTATATTTTCTTGTGTAATGCGCATTCATAAATATAATCCAATGAAAAAATTGACTTTTAATTGATATTTGTAATTTTAAGGCATCTTAGTATATTCTCATTTTTACCTTCTTAATTTGCATGCAGTAATCCCTTATAATATGTTTTATGTAAGCTTTATGCAACATCTACATTAATTAATAATATTTTCTAACAAATAAATATGTATGTACAAATAATGACTATAAACGCTTTTCGCACATCACAATTATATGAAGATATTAAATTTCAATTATGTTGGCAATTACAAAATATATACATACATACAAACTTAAATTATTATATTAAATTTCAATTATGTTGGCAACTACAAAATATATACATGCAAACTTAACAACGCAGTAGTAAAATATGTTGGCTTGCTCTTTAAGCTCTCTTTGCTTAAATAACAAAGTCAAGTATATTTTTATTATTTTCATATTCCTTTAGCATAAGCTTGAAAAAAAAAAACAAAGTTACAACTGTTTAAAATCTCATGTATGAGAGCGGGAGAATGATGCTCACCGCAAACGTAAGCAATGCAAGCAAATGCACTGAGTGCGCGCCGTTACTTGTGCAGTGCAGGTATCAACAGATTTCATTACGAAAGAAGTGCGCAGCAGAGTTGAACATAAAAATTCATTAATAAGTCAAATTCATTAATAAATTAATGTAATAACCAATTTTGATGTGATAAAATCGTGAAAATTTGTGAAAATAAGTGTTGTGAATAAAAGGAAATATTTAGCTTTAAGCAAATGTTTGTAAAAATGTGAAAAGAAGCACGTTTAAAGTTTCGTATAAAATAGTGAAGGCAAAGTGTAAAAGGTGCGAAAGTGATTGGAAAAGTGTTAAATTTTGTTTTGAAAATGCTATGGGTATTTTTTTGTGTGCGTGTGAAGAAATGTGTTGTGTTGTATAAATAATAATAGTGCAAGGAATTCATGCCAAAAGTATTGCCGGGAATATGCTGTTGACTATAAGGAACAACATATGTAGAGGTGAGTCATTTACATGTTTAGTTCTTGTTAGATATTCGTAAATTAGAAATTCAAGGGAATCCAAGAACATTGAACAAATATCAGTAGCAGGAAATAATAACTTTGCAATATGTATTGACGTTTCATCGATATTGTGCTAAAAAATGGCAGGACAATGTGTGGATAATTAAGAAAACATCAGTACTGCGTATATATTCAACATATAGAATGGTATAGAAATGTATTACTTTTTTAATAAAGTACTTACATTTAAAAGTATGAATAGTATTATTTTCACATTTTAATGACATTTCTCTTCTTGGCGTATGTACCGCTGTTGTTTTTACTCAATACCGCTTGTTAAAATACATAGCAGTTGATCAAAGAAATAAAGATGACAATTGACCGCTCCCATAGGTTGTGATGTTCCTTATAAAGTAAAAAAAGTAAAGAGCAAGTAAAAAAGATTGAAAAGCCTGTTATAATTTAGCGCCTCTTTAAGTTATGCAAAGAAGGTAAATAATGTTTGTGAGCGATATAGGACTGAAACTAAAGATATGTGTGTATAACATTGTACTTTCATAAATAATTTGTTAAAACATATAACACTTCAAAAATAAGAATTTTTACTTACGTATATAGTTTTTATTAACAAAAACTAATTAATTGAATGTGAAAATATATTTTGCTCTACCCTAATAGAGAATCTCGATTTCCAAAATATATTATAAATAAAATGTGAATCGAGTTTCTATAATTTTAGTACCCCATGGCCTAACATATTAACAAATTTATACCAGAACACGTTATTCCGAAAACAAAAAACTCTTCCGGTATGTTTGAGTTAGAATATAAGCGAGCCAGCGATGTCTACACTAATAAAGCAGGTGTTAGTAAAAAATAAAGACGATTTTGTCAATTTTCTGAACTTAGCTATACTAATAGTTAGCAATACTATTTGCGATATCTTTTGTTCAGCAATATTTGGGAATATTTTCATATATGTAAATATTTTGAAATTTTTACAAAACCATAACTGCGTCTCATCTCTGAAACACTACGACATTACATAATTTCAGTTTATTCAATATTTATTTAATTTCCGTATTTTGCCTTATAAATTAGCTAGTCTATATTTGAGTGCATTTTAGTGAAGTCCAAATTTGGTTTCATTAGGGCTACTCGAAAAATCTCTTGAATTTTCTATGTAAACCCGAAAATTTTAGCTAATAATAATTTATAAATTTCTATTCAAAATATTTTTTAAAAAAAATTAAATAAACACTTCTAACTGAAACCGAATGTATTCAAAGACAATTAAAAATTAAATTAATTATTACGTTTTTTGTTTTCTATTCCTGAAAATTTTAGTAAGTAATAATTTTCAAATTTTTCATTCCAAAAATCGTTATAAAAATATATATTTTAATTCCAAATGCCGAATTAAAACAAAAAACATTAAACCCGAAATTATAGTTAGAATTTCTAAAAATTTAATTTTAAATTATTTCTCGCACATTTTCGTGTTCTACCCTTTTAGTTACATTTCAAAAAGAAAGCTTATTCTTAATAAAATATCAATTCATTTTTGAACTTTTTCCTATAATTGTATTAATTTTCATAATAGTTTTTCAGTTAGAAATAAATCCAACCTGAATCTGAAAAATATTTTTGTTTACTCTAACTTTTAAATTAAAATATTAGAACCTATATTATTATTGTTTTTTTTTTTTAATACATATTATAAAAATATTATATCGTAAACTGTTATTATTTTCTTTTAATTCCGAATATCTTATTCTAATTTTGGATATAAACATTTAAAATGTACTTTTTTTTTATTTAAATTTCAATCACAAAACTAATATTTCTCGTTTTGCTTATAATAATATACATATTTCCGTGTTCTGAAATATTAGCAATGTTCATGCAAATATGTATATTATTATTAAAACAATAATCTAGCATTGTCTGCATATGCCATATACATTTACTTATCACACATATGTACATATAGAAAACAGTGCTTGTCTGTACATGCCTTACCCGGAAGTAAACACATTCTGCACCTAGTTTGCCCACTTCCTATCTCTTCACAGCCCTTCTTCAAGCATTGAAAAGGTCAAAAAGGCTGCATGCAAATGCAAGTAGTTAACAGTGTTGCTAGTTTCCTAGAGAACACTACAATTGTGTGTGCGATTTATTTAACACTCTTGAACCGCAACACAGTACATCCAGTTAGACATCCAGTCAGTCAGCTTCAAGTGTATGCAGCAGACGTCAAGAAATTTGAAGTGTTGGGAAGTTGAGGAAATGGAAATGCAAGGAACATGATTGCACACATACAAATAAATTGATGTAGTCTTTGTAAAACAATATTAGCTCCTTTACGGATGTGTCGACATAAATGTATATGCTATGGCTTATATACCGAACCTACACTGTTTAAAAATTTGAAGTTTTAGTCGAAATTTTTTTTTAAATTTTTAATAAACCGCTTGGACCGGAAAAAAAACTGTTTAACTGCTTATAATGTGTAATTTTATATATACAATTTTTATATTACACCAATCGCTTCAGTATTCTTTGTGCTATTGCTCGCATACCGCAATTTCTTTTCGCAAATTTCTTCGTCCATTACGTACAAATTCTCTTCGAAAAGCAGACTGCCAAGTCAAGTGTCGCTTTCCTTCCCATCATCAGCGGAGTCATCAAGAAGCTTTCGAAGGCGCCGCTTCCGAAGTGTGCTTGTCGTGAATGGAGCCATGGCTTCAGCTTTGGCGCCCAAACGAATTGTTTACATTCATTTCCATTACCATTTCCTTGGCCATTTTCTATTGCTATTACCATAGTCGGGAATTTCCATAACGAATGCGCGTTAACGAATAAAAATTTCTTGGCATTTGACGGGCATTTGTTTTTGCATGCGCTTATACGAAGCGGTAGTTGGCATTTAGCATAGCACTCTTCTGTATTACATTTCGCGAAGTTTTCTTTTTTCGTTTATACTTAAATACGCTTTTACTTCTTTCAACTATTTTGAATTTCCTTTTTTTTAACTAGGGATTCGCTTTTTGCAAGTCATTAACCATAAAATCATTTAAATGTAGATTTGCTTAAGCGCATTATTGTTTTGATTTCTGTGTCATGTGAACGGAGAATACAAAATAAATGTGGGCTGGAAAGAAGACATATATATACAAGGGTGTACTATGCACTCGCTGGGTTAGCTTTTAACAGCATTTTTTCAAAAATTGTTTTCACTTTAAGAATTGTTTCTCCAAGACCTGTGTAAAAACTCATGAATATCGGTTGAATGGTTCTCGAAAAATCTTGTCAAACTGACTTTAAGAACACGTTTTCGAAAAAATGCATTTAAAGACGTTACATTTAGCTTAGCAGGCCTCGAACGCACAAGTTCTGAAGGCTGTACCTCCGAAACTGTTGCTCGGATTGACTTGAAAAAGAAAAATATTCTAGAGGTGATTTAATAAAACAATAAAAAAATCTACTTTTTGAAACCCGTAAGCCCATATAACTCCTTGAGAATAATATTTTTCACCATTGCTTGACCGCAAATATGATATTGGAGATTCGCAGTCGAAGCCTTTAACGTCCAGAAAGAAATATCGATGACTCTGTAAATCATATACATATATGAATGATCAGAGCGACGAACTAAGTCGATTTAGTCCGTCCGTCCATACGTTCACCTGTGTATATGAGAGTAATTTTTCAGATATCGATCTTAAATTTTGTTTTTGCTTGGAAAACTCTATTATTTTATAAGGTATATTTTTGAAATTTGGCATAGATAATTTTCCATTTTTCTTTGTAGTCGGAATTCACTTTTGTAATTGTTTTATTCCAAAGAGTTCAGAAGAACACTTTTGCTTGAGTTTTTGAGGAAATATATTCTACAACTGATTTCTTATTAAAATTTTATTCTTCTTCGCTAAATGTTCAATCTTCCATAAAAAATAACTATTCTTAAATAATTTATAGTATTACGGGCAAATAATTGTTTTTTCTCAGGTCACCCTCGTATCCTGGTATATGAAGAAGGAAATGCTGGAAAAATTAAACGAAACTGTAAAAGCTTATTTTCCACTCAGCTATGTTGCTACTATTATAGCAGATTTTAATTGCAAATTTTCTAAAAAAGAATCCAATTTGTAGCTTTGCTACTTTAATTACACTTAGACGAATTAATAGCAACAGCAAATCGCGGCGTATAGCAAGTCAAGCGCTAGTGGCTAAAGGCGAATAACAAACCAAAAGCGAACAAAAATATTCACAATAAACGAAAAGTAAGCCAAGAGGCCGACAAAAACTGCTATTCTCAGCTGTAAAAGCATCGAAAGCACGAAAAATACATCCAACAGTGTTTTACATACTTACATGCAGACAGGCATTTATATATGTACATATATATATATGCATATGTAGTACTATATACACGAGCGTTGTCCACATTCCGGTTTTCTTTGCTTACTTGACACAGTTTCTTCACAGCATCGCGTATCAAAGCAATAACAAGCTGGTTGCTTATGAGAATTGTATACGGTGCTGCTCAAAGCGCCTAAGAATATGCTACACTTGAGCGCCATATTCATGCGCAAGCGAACGCATCGTACCACTACAACCATACACTTCTTACCAGCTATTGTATATTACATACTCATGCCGGAGCTTTAGTGTATTTTTGCACTTGATGGCATGTGTGCCATGTTGGCGACCCAGGCCTAGCCTTGAGGTTGTTGACATCGCCATTAGTCAAGTGCAGACGCTGGCAGCTGGCAACTGGCAATCGCCAGCAGCGCCGTGGCAAACAAACAAGTAGACTGCGCGCGTGCTAGTCATCATGTGTAGCCTTTGACATCATAAGCCTTGCCTTCTGACCCAACTTTTGCCGCATGCGATAAACTTTCAGTTCCTTACTTGTTTCCCAGTATTTTCTTCTTATTCTGCTTGCTATACTCTCTGGCTATGTGTGTGTGAGTGTGCGTAGGTATGTATTT